ATGAAGGGGGTGGGGCCGCCGAGGAGGTGAGGCTTGTGGTCGGAGGTGGTGGTGGAAGAGGGAGCGGAGGAGGAGGGGGCGCCGCCGCGGAGGGAGACGGAGACGGTGGAGAAGGAGGCGGGGGTGGTGCCGGTTCCGGTGGCAGCGATGATTGAGGGCTCGGCCTGGCGGAGGAGCCACTCGATGGTCTGGCCGTCGGACTTGTGGCCGAGCTCACGTGTGAGCTGGAACACACGTGCGGCGCATATGATGGGCATGCGGATGCGACGGCCTCTCCCGTCGACCTTGCTGTGGCGGTCCTTCGAAGGCGGCTTCTTCACGGCCAATACGCCGTTACTAGACGGCCTCTGCGACGCCTGCTGCTCCACCATCCCTCCTCCTCCTCCGCCGCCGTTAGTGAGCTCGTTATTGGGCGCTTCGGAATTAGACATGGAAGAAATTTACGGTATTTAGCTGGGTTTAGGGTACACACAGAGTGTGTACGTTTTGTTTGCTTGGTGTGGAAATTGTAGAGAGAGAGAGAGAAGGGGCCTGTTTGAGTTATGGAGGTTTTTGGGGGAAGAGAGAGAGAAAGAGTGAGGGAGGGAGGTGAGGGGGCTGGGCTGAGGGAAACAGAGCTCTCTCTAATGATTGAGCTTCCAGACAGGAGCTGGTGGAGACAGAGGAGGGCACATGGGGTGGTGGCCCCCACTCCATACAAGCATTCTTCACCTTGACACTTCTTCCTCACTGTGTGAAACACGCGCAACCCCAAAACAAAACAAAACAATTTAAATATTTTTATTTAAACATATAATTTTGCCTTATCAGTCAACAATTGGTCAAAATTGGATTTTTCAGCTGGTTAGTAAAATCACGAGCCTTAAGCCTTGTTATTCAAGCGAGGGTATTGAACGGTGTCGTGTCGGGTGGCGGAGGTTTATGAAACGGCGACGTAGAGGTTCTTCTCCTCGGCTTGGCTTGAGGACGGTGGGTGATTGGCTGTGGGGATGACGACGTTTTTGTGTTCGAGTCTCTGCTGCTGCTCTGATTTGCTGAGTACTTGCTACTTCAATTTTTCCTCACTTCAATTCAAATTTGCAAGTAATAAGGAAGACCATAGTAGCAACAGTAATGAATCCCCTACAGGCTACAGCTTAGCTCCATTTAATACTACCATATCTATATATTACCCATACTTACAACGTGGGTCCATAAAAATGAATGCACACAGTATTAATGCAAAAGGATTGTTTCCCTTTTCCAAAACCATGGCATCAAAATCTTTGTGCATTCCGTAAACGTAAGTTAAGTTAGTTAATCAAAGTTAACGCATCCATTCTTTTGTACTAAAGTTGAAATTCATTCCGCCTATATTAGAACAATTTAGAATATCACCGTTGTCAAAAAATAATATTTTATTTATTGATTCCATCGATTCTTATACGACTAAATACATTACCAAATAAAAATACTATCAAACAAAAGTGTTATAGCAAAAAAAAGAAAAAAAACACCAATGAAATTGTCAAATTACATATAATATACTTGAAAAAATTTGAGTATATTTCTGTGAAAAATAAGAATAAATAAAATATATTGTGGATGATATGGAAACTCAAGTCACAAATCGGCCTACATGTAGCTCAATAACACTTTAGGGAGAAGGTGACATATATGTTGGCTGATGAGATACAAGCATAACATGGCCTTGCAATAAATCAAAGGTAAAAGAGCCCCACCGCACATACTTTCTACTTTCTATTTCTAGTACATTTTCTAACTAACCCCGCCTACAAATCGATATATAATCAACCCTCCCTTTTTTCTTTTCTTTTTTTCTTTTTTTTAGAACATTTTTTTTATTGAGAAATACGATAACATATTAAACTCACACACACTATACGAATACTAAAACCCAAAACCTTTCAATTTCTTCTTTTTTTCTTTTCTCCTTGACCTTTGAATTTTGTAGGAAAACTCTGCGCCTTCTTTAAAAATAGCCCACCTTCTACACAATAACAAATGCTCAATGCTCACCCTATTTTATTATATTCAAACTGTAAGGAATTCCAAGAATTTGGTTCCTAGAGATTGACTAGTTTCCTTTATGAAAAGCCTGAATTTTATGGCATACTCTTTTCTTTTCTTTTTTGATTTTTGATTTTATTTTTATTTTTATAGAAATAGGGATACATTGCATTGGGGATGGGGCACTTTTCCTGGGATTCGAAGGTAACCAGGGGAAAGGGGGAGGGACCTCACCACTAAGGTAAACCCCTCGATCATGGCACACTCCCTTAGTTCCATTAGTCAGCCGACATTTTTAATGATTGGTTCAAATCTAAAAGCCTCAGCTGGATTTAGCTTGTAAACAATCATTAATCAAGCTTCCTACCCTACTAACCCACATATATCAATAACAACCAACAACAACAAGTATATAACCTCTAAGCCAATAACCCATCTATTATTAGGCCATAAGTTGCCAAGGCCAACGCCTTTGAGGATGCTCCTATCTGTCTAATCATTCTCAGGCCTAATGTCACGTTGAAGAGGCAAACTTCCTTCAAGGGCACATTTTAAATTTTTCTATAATGCGAATTAATTGAAGCACGTTTGGAACTGTTATGTCGACGAATTCAAGTCACTCTAATACGGGATAAAAATTAATTTATAATTTTATTGGATTGTATTCTTACCAAATGAGAATCCATACCAAAAATGTATACCCTTCACTTGAAGTCATCAAAACTTGTTTCATATGTTGGCAGTTTCCTTGTCATTTAAGCTGTCGTCATTGACTATTATAAAAATAAACTAAAAAAACATTTTTGTTTTCTCTTTGCCTTAAAGTTGTAAAAAATCTAATTAGCGTGGAAAACGTGTTGCGCGGGAAGACGTGATGTGCACTGTCTCAACAGGGGCGCGTGGAGGAGAGAGCTGTCGTGGCTTTAATGAGGTCAGTAGAGAGAGAGTGAGTAAGTCGAGTGGTACAAAATGGACACATAGACTGACATAAGGCAGTGTTTTTATTTACGTAATTTGCCACTTTGGTAGTTCTGAAATTCAACTTCAAATTTTATAATTTTAAAAATAATTTTTATATTAAAAGGAAACCCTTCTCTTCTATTCTATTGCGACAATGATGAGGCAGACGAATGTTTGGGAATATGATATACACAATAATTCACGCCCTTGGTTCTTGGATTCTAAACCCTAGAGATCCAACGGTGGAAAGTTGTTGTATCTTTTGAATTCTTGAGCTCATCTACTCCGGATTCAAACCCTTGTGTGAAGAAAGTCAAGGCCATGCGTTATGAATTAGAAAAATGTTTGATGTCTGCATTATGGAGATTAATTAAGAGGATGATGTTGTTTGCTGGTGATTGTGTATGCCTTAATTATTTGGAGAATTGGGTTTGGGTTGGATGTCTCTTCTTCTGACTTTAGAACATGCTCTTTTATTGGACGATCTAGCATGTTATGTTGTGATCACTTTCAATTTTAACAAGAGGTATGTACATACACCAATAAAACGGTCCAAATTTAATTTGGTTTAGATCTCGAGCTAATAGTAGATTAGTCGAACCAAATCAATTCATTTAGCGATTCACTTCATAATTGATTGAGCAAATATTGTATGTATTGCAAATTAAATATGAGTTGATTCGTACTTCATACCAAGGAATACATAGAGAGATTTTGAAAGAGAGTTGTTTGGTGAATGCAAAATGTTTGTTGAATTGAAACACACTTATAACGGGAATTGATCACCTGCCCGCGATTAGCTCTAGCATAACTCAATTAGATCGGTATGTAATATATGATATGTTTTTTCTTTTCATTTTTTTTTAATTGTGTGTCAATATAAATTATCAAAGTTCCTTTTGTCATTAAAATATGAATTCATTGGTAAGAAATCATAGAAAATTTTCGGCAACCAACTAACTATTAATCGAGTGGTATTTTCCGCTTTTTTTAAAAGAGGTGTCATTACACAAGCTAGAAAAACATTACAGAACCCAAATCTACAAATTGAAGTAAGCCCTTTATGGATGGACCAGAAGAAAAGAAGTAAACCCTAGGCTATATGATTTCACCAAAGAAAAAAACAAAGTAACCCTATATGAGGACAAAAATGATGACTAGTTACTGCCTCTGCTGCCACTGCAGAGACTGGAGTACGTGCTGCCCAAATCAACAAAACCCTAAACCCTAAAAACACTCACTCACAAATTTCATAAAACCTAGATCTAATCTCAAATCGCAAGAAAAAGTAAAAAGCTCCAAAGTCCAAAATCTGCAGCAAACCAAAATGATCAGGAGTCTCTCAGATGAAACATTAAAAAGGAAAATAAAATAAACGAGCAATTTTAAGAAAACCTCCCAGAATTCTGTGATGTTACGATTCTGCCAGATTTCAACCCCCCTCAAAAAAACCAACTCAGTTGTACGTTGTATGGCAGCTGGCTTGGCAGCAGAACACCAGTTGGCACTATCTACCCAGATTTATTATTTACATGGGCCCATGTGGGCCTCAAACTTAAATAATTTAAAACTTGTGACTTTTTTTTAAGTACAAATTATAGTCTGAACTATCAAAGAAAACTTATCTATAACAAAAATAAGATTATTTTGCTATTCTTAACTAATAATACAATAACAAGTGAAAAAAATTATCTTATGTGTCATTGCATTATTGGCCAGAGATAGCAAAAAGTGATATTCCTATTGCATACGAGTTTCTTGGAAATGAGATTTCTCACACACTCACAAACTATGATACCGTGAGGATTGGAACTTGAGACCTTTGATTTGTAAGTCAAGACTATTTTTAATCAGACTAGATATTATTAACAAAATTATGACTAATTTATTAATTAACTCTGTATACGTAAATGTGGATAAAGTCAGTTCACCAGCTTTCTCATTCTTTTCACGAGTTGGATCTCCTTTACACACTCGCATAGCCGCACATAGCTGTGTAAATGATTTGGATTTGGATAGATTAATAGCACTAGTACTATTTTCTTCCTCGTAAGTGGCAGTGTATTTTTTTATTAATATTTTTTGACCAATCCGAAGGTCTTGGATTATTTTGCCCCACAACAAAGACGCCCGTAACACGGTTTCTAACTTTCCACAATGTAAAAGTACAGAACAAAAGATTTTTTTTTTTTATTATTTAAAAAAAAAAAAAAAAAAAAACCACTATCGCACACACGAGGGCATATATTCCGTATCCTAATAACGCGTTCATGTGCTGCTTTTGATTAATTAATCCTCAATTATTATGATTAATTATGCCCTAATTATATCTTTTTGTCTAACCACTACATTATAATATTATTATACTGGTCATTATTATATAATCCCCAATTGGGGTTTTGATAATTTTAATTAAATCGAATTTTGGCGTATGAATGATGGAACATTCCTCTGTAAGCCCATGATAGTAGTTGTGGTTGATCAGATCATGATCTTATTAGTTTATTATTTATGCAAGAATTAATGATTATAAAAAATTAAAAATAAAAGTTTTCAAAAACACATGTTCCTGGAATTTGGGGTTTTGTGTTTGTTTATATTTGGTATGGGGTGGCCCTCCCCAATGGGCAATAACCTAATTTCAACGATATCTTTCTTGCACTTTGCTTGGTTGAATTTTATTTACAAGTGAAATTATAAACAAAACAACATAAATAAATAAATAAAACATAAAAACAAAGGAGGACTTCGAGCAACCGACTAGCCTTTGGTCTAATGATATTTATTTCCAGTTGATTGAAGGAGGTCTCATGTTCGACTCATTAATTTTGAGTATATTGATCAATTATAAAAGTATCGTGTAAATATCTTGTTGTTTGTCGAAGAAATGGACGTGGAGCATGATTTCTTATTTCTCTCCTTCCCGCCTCTTTATTTTTCCCTCTCTTTTTGGTGTTGTTCCCGCCATTTTTGGATAGAAAGAAAAAAACAGCAAAATCTGCCTGAGATCATGAAATGCTTAAGATCTGCAATGGTAATGAAATTGTATATATATACCCTTTATTTTATATTATTAGAAGATCTTTTTTGTTTTTTGGTTAATCATGTATAAACAATATGAAAATTTTACACCACCTTAGTACTTAAAACAATTTTAATAATAGATTTAAAACAAAGAATAATAGAGCCATTAAGGTAAGCTCAAGTGGGAAAGGATGGTGGGGTAATGAACTAAGATTAAGATATGTAAAGAGTTTTATTTATTCCGGTACAACAAAGAAAACGAAAGTCAACAGGTAGTTATGTATTAACAAGAACTTGTTTTAATTGTAGATCATATTCGAACGACTGCTTCAAATACAATATCATGAAATTAAGTGAAAAACTCCACATACAATGTAAGAACTTTCCCATTTAGACCTAACATCTCCTTAAATTTAAAGTGTATGCTCCCACATTAGCCATACTATTTGTCTCTCGTACTCTAGTTCATTTTTTTTTTTTTTTCACTTTAATAACTTTCATCACATTGCACACGCAATATAAACGTACGATACATCTTGACACAAATTCATGGCTACATATAACTAAGCCATACAGTAGAAAAGGTAACTCTATATGGTGACAAGCCTCCCAAAATAGAACTTGAGAGAAGTGAATTCATTTGTGCACATGCACTCTTGATTGTGTTTAGTTTTCGTAATTAAGTAACTAATCAAGTGCATGCATATAGTTAATTTGATTGACGATGGAAGATGATGAACCATTAATTATATGGGCCCAGACCAAATGATCCAAGAACAACAAACTCATCATGCATGTGATATTCCTTGACGGATCTCCATCTACTGATCATAATTTTGTATCTCAGTTTGTGGAGAAATTTCAAAATGACCCCAACCAAACTATTGCATATATATGTACACGGACAGGGAACATCCAAATAGGATATTTTGGGTTATATATGGACCATATGGTTGACTCCTAAGTTAATTTTGGGTACTCTATTTGACTCATCTCCGTTGGGGTAAATTTTTTTAGACTATGCCATTCATGCACTCTAGAGTCAAAATCCAAATTAAGTTCATGTTTGACTCTTTTTCGTCGGTTATACACTCTTATGTAGAGTAGTTATTTCTGCAACCGAGGTCAATTGTTTAGAATAATTATGGACAATCGGCCAAGAAAATATTTCTAACATATAAAATAAAATACGTATCTTTACCCTTTTTCTGATTTGATTTGATGATTAATCTGGTTTTCCGTAACATTGAAGTGAAGTTGTTCATTTGAAAAAGGAATAAAACGAGATTTTTCCCCACAAAAGTGGAAGCAAAAACTGTAAAAGGCGTCTCAAAATAGGTCATGCATGTGAGCAGACTCTAGTTGACCTTATCTGGATTCACCAGTCAGGAGACTGATGACAGGACCTGAAAATCCAAAAATTATAATAATAAATTTAAATATATTTTTAGCTGTTTTAAAAAGAAACAAAGGGCCACAAATGACATGAGGCTCCAAATTGTCCAACAATCAAACAGCTGGAGCCCATCTCAACCATTTTTGGAATTATTTATTTCATGGAAAACGACTTCTGAAAAAGGTTGAACAAATATTTTTTTATTATTTAGTTTAATTTTAAAAAAGGATATTATTATTATGCAGTTTTTTTTTTTTTTTCAGTACAAGCAATAGTTTAAATTACAAAGAAGAAGAATTTCACACACACACACAACTATGATATTATGGGGATTCGAACTTGAGATATCTAACATGCAAGTCAAGACCCTTTTCCACTAAATTATGCAATCTTTAATTTCGAAGAGAAAGATTCAAAAGGTCACCAGCACAAAGAAAATTTTCTAGAGAGGAGCCAACCATAATGTGCCACATTTCTAGACTCTTCATTAAATTATTGGTTCAACTTTTTTCTTTTTCACAAAATAAAAAAACTTTTCAAAAGCATGATGGTTGTGAATTCAATGATGTCATTTGCGGAAAGGTTTATGCACTAATCAACGCCCCTCCAGGTCAAGTTACAATCTATTAGCTTTGATGAAACTTGTCTTGGATTCTTTCTAGTTGCACAAAATATGTAAAGATTTCATAAGTGTGGCCATATTAATTTGTTTCGTCGATAGAGTAGATTATTGTTAAAACGTGATTTATAGTTGACAGTCAAATAACATAGCATGTCGCATGTCTGATGAGAGCACATTGCCCAATTTTTCTACATTTTATTTCGTTTCATGATTCTCTTTTCTTATTTTGTTGAAAGAATAATGCTTATGGGCCCATTTGTACTTTGGGCCCAAAAGATTATACGCAAAAATGATTTTGAAACAAGAGATTTGATTGTCGGAATGGGCAAAATAGAAAGTGGAACACATCAACAGTACCACCCCTTGCAAATAAGCAGAAGCACAATTCGTTTAATTAAAACCTACACTGCATAAGCTTTTGCGGTTACCTCAAGTGGCACGGGAGGGTAGATAGAGGTTAAAACTAGGATAGGTCAAGTGTTTGATCCATTCTAATGTAACGAGAAAAGAAAACGTACAATGCATTGATTAAGGAAACTTAGCAGGTCAAGACTCGCTGGGAAGAACATTGAAGAAATGATAGACTTCTTCTTCATCAATTACACCTACCTCTGTTGAGCAAAGTAAGCAGCAGACTTGCTTGAAGGTTTGGTTACCTGCAGGAATTGCTTTGCTCCCAGAAGATTCTCTCCCTACTTTGCCCTTTCTAGGTCTTCCTTCTTTTTGATGAAACACTTGATCACTTCCAGTCTTGCAGTTAACAACAAACACTGCTCTGTATTGGGTCACATACTTTTCATGCCTGCAAGAAATCAAGCTCAGATATAACCGAAAAAGAAGAAGAAATCAAGCTCAGATACCATTTAAAGATATACATGATTACATCATGAGTACATCTCACCCATAACAAAAAAAAATTAAGTCACCATTGGAAACAAAACATTCTGCAGCTACCGAATGCAATACATAGAAGTTTAGTATGCCTCCAATTGCGTGAATTGGGAAGATGATTTCACAAGCCCCTCTGCTAGTTGTACAATTACTTTTTATTTTATTTTTTGTACATTGAAAAATGCTTGTATGTATACATATATTTACTTTTTCATCCCTAATTTTAGTACCACTACATGCCAACTTTATCACTACCACAACATGATCACAACTTTTGGTATCATAATTATTTATCACCTCATAGTACTTCAAAAACCACTAAAATAATCTAATTATTGCCTGCCTCCATCAGCTTTACATAAGCACCTCAATACGAATAAGGAAATTAATACCAGCCTACTCAGTTCTACTACAACAAGAAACTTGATAACATCATACACGTTACCCACTCTTGGAAAAATATTAGTTAAGTCCAAATTTCTGAAACAAGACAATGGGACACTATTTTTTGCTCAAAATATCAATCTTCTCTATAACAAAGATACCAAAAACTCCATCCATCCATACAGAAAAGGATTCTTTTTCAGAAACATACACATCATCACCATGAACAATTATGACTATGTATGCTTCTTAACTTGGAGACAAAGTTTGTGCTGATTTGAGTTGCACCCCAAGATCAGTTTATGGTTCACAAGGTAAAAGGCACCGAATGTTCTAAAGGATATTAGAGGAAATTAGCTCCTATAGAAATTTCCTTTTTAAAATGTAAGACTGCAACAACCTAAACTTTCATATGCAGTTCAGAGGAGACTAACAAAACCTTAACCAGAATGGGGAGATTACAAAACCCTGATTAGATTGGACAGAATGCTGCAAATTAAACTGTGACAGCTACTCAAAAGTTCTTTAGCTGGTCTGGCTTTCATTCTCAGTGCCTTTAGGGGCTTGCTTTTCTCTTTTGTTATTAAGAAAGAAAACACAAATCACCAAAAGAAAATATAATTTTGTAGTGGAATTTTCAACGAGATAACTGTTATAAAAGGGTTTAAGTAGTCATTCACATATTCCCCCTCCAAATTGTTAAACTGAGCTTGTTTTCTTAGCTATCCCCATGTTTGGTTTGCTTTCAACTAGAGAAAATAGAGAAAAGAAGAAAATTTGAAATATTTCATTGTGAACAAAAGGAAAATAAAGAGAAGAAATTCATTTTGGTAACTAATACCTATGAGCCCACTTTCCCTTCAAATTTTACCTATCTTGCAGAGAAAGTTTGAGAAGAAAACCTAGAATATTTTCTATACTCAAGAAAAATAAAATTCATTCTCATTGATAGCGAGCCAATGGCAAGTTAGAGAAATTAATTTTATTTTTTTTCCTTTCTCCTGGTAATGCAAACTAGTGTAACTTCTATCCCTGATACCTTTCCTACTCTTATTGTCCACTTTGTTAATTATCGAACTAAATCATAACTTACCTAGGATCCTATGAACTCATATGAAAAGTGCTTTTTAAAGCCTAAAATACCAGTACAAGATTGAGAGTGTACTGTAAAATCATTATTATCCCATCAAGGACCCATTCCAACCAATGCTACATTCAGGAATCAGACTTACGCAAAGAGATATGAAAAATAAAAAGAGATAGAGCATTCGAGCATTCCTAACTACAGCAGCAAGAAAAGGAAAAGGCATGCCATAAAGATGCTTTCAGGGATGGGAACGGATGATACCACTAACCATGCTGACATTCTTATTAAAAAAAGTACTGACATTCATAAACAATGCATATACAGTATACCTTTGACACTCCAGGCATAGTGTGGTGAAACAAGATGGACAACTAAGCACAGCATCAGAAGTACGACCTTTCCTTTTCGTTTGAACCCACAACTCATCTTTGTCATCAATATCTGAATCATAGAACTCGGGTTTGACGGAGTAGTCTATTTCATCGTCATCAGAAACTGAAATACACAACATATCAACATGGGTTACATTCAAAACTTCAAAGAATTACTCCATTGCTATATAACAGTACTTCGCTGGACCTTCAAATATCTACAAGCAATGCCGGACAAAAGAAATGATTTTCAATTGCAACTTATCACAAGACATCCTTTCTCATTTGATTGTACATGTCGAATATACCCAGTAAAATGGATACCATTCATTGCCAATATGAAATTCGTTCCAATAAATTGAATACAAGGAGAATACAACATATTAAACAGTCCCAAGACTCTGATCATTATGACGTTTAGAAAAAAAAACTTTACTTTTGCTCTGAGTGCAATTAATATAAGGGTTTTAATACAATAATATACCTTAGCATTCAAAAAGCTTACAAAATATGAACAACAAACAATCACACTGACAGTATTCTAAGTTATTTAATCGAATATAGAAATCACAACATATTAGCCCCAAATAAAATAATATGAAAACAAAGAAATCAAGAAATCCCTGTCTGGGTTCTGTTTGGTTGGTGAGAAAACATGGAAAGGGAAAGGAAAGCGCGAGCAGAATGGAGGGAAAATAAGACGAGGAGAAAGGAGATGAAGAGAATTACCAGTTTTCTGAGAATTGGTTGGAGAGCCCACGGGGGGGTCTCTCTTGTCATCTCCATCTACTTCCATCTTCGTCTCTGCTCTGTTCTCACTTTCTTTCTTTGTTTCTGCTGGGTTTAATTCGGACTTCATTCGTTTGGGCGTCTTCTCAAGTCTGTTCGGTGCTTCTTTGTTTATTTATTTTTGTTAATTGATGACGGTTTGGATTGCGTCATGAATAAAGGTGACACGGTCTGAATTTAAACAAAAATCACTTTGTTTAGAATGAATGGTTTGTTTCGGTTCAATTTCAACAAAAATCACTCTAAACACGAAAAACCTCACGGGTGTTAGCGTAAAACACTTTTAAATAAAAAGATCAATAGATTCAAAGTTTCATCAAACTTCAAATTTAGCATCTTGTTTAGACTTTGATTTTTTCGCCTATGGGCCTTTAAAGATGGCGGAAACTGGAGAAAGAAGAATGCTTTGGGCCTGAAAAGACTTTCAAACCCGTACGAGTAGTTTGAATGACGGAAGAAGCCGAACCTTTCAAAGTAAGGGAAAGTTTGCCTCACCAAGAAAGCAAACATTTTGAACGAGACAAGCTAACCACACAAATAGACCGAGGAATCATTTGCTTCATTGAGGGAGCAAACAGTAAGAGCCAGAATCTTACTTCCTCACTGAGAGAGCGAGGTCCAGAGACCAAGCTCATGTCAGAGTTCCACCACCCAATCTATCAGAAAGCAGTCGAAGGTCACCTTTTCTACTGTTCAGATTGATCAATCGCGAGTGAAAGCGTAAGATGAAAGTTATGAGGATTTCAGACCAAAAAAAAGAAAAAGTTATGAGGATTGATTGGACGTTTGTGAGAGCACGACCATAATTATTGTCTCGGCTAAAAGTAATACAAAGTCTATAAATAGCAGAAAGATTGATGAAACGAAGGTCTAACACCAATCAAACAAATCAAGCTCGATGATTGCTCAAATGCACCTTTTACCCTTTTATCATGTAGTTCATAGTTTTTAATCTTTGATCGTTCATTCAATATATTAACAAAAAGTTCTTAAGATACCCGTTTTCTTAAGTTATTTCTTGAGCACCACCCCATCCATCCAGATTTCTTGGGATGCCTGTATTTCTTAAGCTATCTGAAACCATTGAGCTACCGAGCCTAGTGCCACCACCAAGCTATCGAGCTCAATGTACGGTCAATAATCTATTCCTATCTCGGGCAAAATCATCCGTGAAGAAGTCACATCCACATCGCCAAGCATCACTCACTTGTACTCACGGCCATTTCTGTCTGTGGTACTGGCACGCCACACACATTCACACCAAGAGGGACGTCTTTGTTATTAAGTCCGCTCAGCCCGCTCGATTATTTTATTTTAAAATAAGAATTCGTTTTTTCCTATAATTTCTATCATTTAAAAAATTTGACTTACAAATGAGTATGAACTTGAAAGTGACCCTATAATTATTTGGGTTTTATGTAATTAACCCTATTATTATAAAAGAGGACAAATGATAAAATTGAGCACAACTTATGATATACAACAGATTTGGTATTTCGTGGCCAATAGGCTTCCACGCCAAGTGAGCATTGCATTTTCGTTCACTCAAAAACTCAGAAGACTCGTCAAAATGCTGCTTTTCCTCTCTCCCTCTATCTCATTACAAAACATGGACACCATCGTCTCCAATTCCGCATTACTATTCATACCACCGCTCCCTCCAGTCCGTACAGTTACTTCAAACTCTTACTCGCCAACCACTTCTGCCCTCGCGCTCTCATCGAAGAAGCTCTTCTCCGGCTTCTTCTACAGCTCTGGAAGCCAGAGAAGGCAACTGGGTCTTCGTAATTCTTCTTCTTCTGCTCGTACGGTTCCTAAGTTTACAGTTGCTTCCGGTGGTGGTATTCAGCAAATTAACGAAACCCAGTTCCAGGATACCGTTCTGAACTCGGACCGTCCGGTTCTCGTCGAGTTCGTCGCCAATTGGTGTGGTCCTTGCCGCTTAATCTCTCCTGCTATGGAATGGGTCGCTCAGGTTCCTCTCTCTCCTTCTCTCTGTCTATTCTATGTATCTATACATTACATGGGATTTTATTTATTTATTTGATAACCTGAACCTATACATATATGTGTTTCTATTTACTATTGTTGCCTTTTTGGAGCATGTTCATTGTTTCTAAGCAGTGGCCTTTGAAGGGAAATTATGAAAATGGGGAAAAGTTTGAGTATTTGAGAAATTGAGAATATAGAAAGAAGTAATTACATTTATTTTGAGTTTCAAGAGAAAGAATACAAGAAAGGAATGGAATTTTGCTTAAGAAATTTAATGGGTATGATCAAAATCTGTTGAACTCTGGAAATGGGTAATGACATATGGCATCTACACAAGTTAACATAACACAGTGTGGTTGGTTGGAGTAGGGTAGACTTTTATTGATTTGGGAAATGAGAGCTCTTGTACTACTTGTTTTTGTAGGAATTAGAGTTGAAGTTAAACTATCTTACCAAAAGAAAACAAAAGTGTAAACTATAGGCTAAAGGTCCCCTGCTTTGTTTAAGAGTCCAGAAACCCAATTTTTGTTTAATAGTTTTGGATAGCACTTCATCTCTCTCTGTCTCTCTCCCAGATATGCTTGTTTTTACTTCTTGTTATGAACAAAAAACACACACACACACACACACACACACACACAATGTTTGTATAAAAAATCTTTCCGGCATCACCCCAGTTCGAGGACTCACAGAAATGGCTCGGATGGTGCCACAATCGAAGAAATGTGTGATCATTTCGAAACTAGGTTTGGAAAAATGTCTTGAAGAAATGGGAGGACAAGTTGCATCTTTCAAATTATTTATGCTGTCAATTTGCCTTGGATTGTTATCCAATCTATACAAATGATCTGATATATGAGTTTATTTGTTGTACTCAGGAATACAGAGACAGGTTAACAGTTGTTAAGATTGATCATGATGCAAACCCAAAACTGATTGAAGAGTACAAAGTTTATGGGTTGCCAGCTTTGATTCTCTTTACGAATGGACAGGAAGTTCCAGAAAGTAGGAGAGAAGGAGCAATTACAAAAGTGAAGCTGAAAGAGTATGTGGATGCTTTATTGGAGTCAGTATCAGTTGCATAGTTGCACTTCCATTTGGATAAGCAGAGGTGCCAATTCCATCAGCTTCAACTTGTGTGTAATATCAATACTCCCTTCCCATTTGTTTTTATTTTTTATTTTTAGTGTATTATACTTGGCATTCAATTGTATAATTTGAGCTGTAAATTTCCGAAAATTATCATTAGACTAGCTCTGTTGATTTACTCCTCATCTGGACTGGAGTATGCTTCATGGAGCACGTAAATGTAAAAGATAGTATTTTGGTTGTCAAAATGAACACTAGAATGTAATCAAGAAATGAAACCAAATGTGGTGTAGAGAAAATTATGGACTAAATAGAAATAATTTATAAATGCCAGATAATGTCATAGGTATTGTTCATCACTATGGAAACAGAGTACCAGACATTATGCATGAATATAGCCATTCCTTTATTTTATTTGGTTCTCGTCAAATATCGTTTAGTAAATAAGTTTTTTTTAATAATTACTTTGGGAGCTGTTATTGACGCTCTATAAAAGTCACTATGCACTTGCGCTTATGTTTTTATAAAGAACAAATTTTCTTTTGATTTTGATAAATGGGGAGGGAAGATTTGAGCTTGGGACATAACATTGGGAAAAAAATAAACGACTAGACTAATAGTTAGTTGGTAACCAAAGAGGTAATTGAAGATATATCTTTGTCGTCGTGCATTAGTACAATCGTTGATGATAATGAAAATGCTAAAGTACAAGGATAATTTATGTTTGAATAGGAAGAGGCAAATCAATAGTATAATTTTATTGGTTTTACAAGCAAGAAAATGAGTAGGACATCAAACTACACAGCCCTGTCTTGCCTGCCATGAGTCACAGCCTCATCAGGGATGTACTTGCCCCAAAACCAGTGTGCCTTCCAAACTCTGTTCATCTCTTCAATGGGCACGTTCTTTGTCTCAGGCAGGAAGAATGTGATGAAGATGGTCATAATGACCACAAAGCCAGCAAAGAAGAAGAAGAGACCAAACTTCAAGTGGCAAAGCATGGTGAGAAACACTTGGCCGATGAGAAAAGTGAACAACATGTTCACTGAGACGTTGATGGCTTGTCCGGCGGATCGGATCTCCAGAGGACAGATCTCACTGGGTACTAGCCATCCCAATGGCCCCCAAGACCATGCAAAGGCTGCTACATATGCACATACAAAGAACAAGATCCAGTTGGCTTCACCTTTTGAAAATGATCCTTCTCCACTCACACCAAACTCCTTGCCTATCATCACTCCGACAGCAATCTACAATGTGTGTAGTGCAAGTTTAGTTAGAAAAATGCCCTTTAGAAATCAAGTTTTAATTAAAAGAAATTAGTTTCATTCAATTGACCATGTAATTAAGTACCTGACAGATGATCATTTGCACACCACCTTGAAGGAATAAGATTCTTCTTCCAAACTTATCGACTGTGAAAATGGACACTAAGGTAGCAACCACGTTAACACCGCCAGTGATGACAGAGGACATGAGGGAAGCTTCATTTCCAAAACCCAACGTCATGAAAAGCACAGGTGCATAAAACATGATCACATTGATGCCCGTGAGCTGCTGAAAGAATGGAACGAGAAAGCAAATGATAAGTTGAGGCCTATATCTTGGTTGTGTGATGTTGATCCATTGGTTCTCAACTCTGTTTGCAACCTCAGTAGCATTAAGAAGGTCTTGGAATTCCTCATCGACGTTGTCGGTGCCACGAATCTTTTGTAACATTTTCTTGGCCTTCTCAGGGTGACCTCTTTCTAGGATGGAATTTGGAGTGTCAGGCAGAAACACTGCGGCAAGGGTCATCATCAAAGAAGGGACGGCTGCAAGAGCCAAAGAGATTCTCCAGCCATATCCACCCTTGATCTTGGCAGTGCCGAAGTTAACAAGACCTGCCACTAGAATGCCAATGGTGATTGCCATTTGGAACCCCATGTTGAGCGCTCCTCTAATCTTTGTTGGAGCCATTTCCGCTAGATAAACAGGAACAGACTGCGAACAACATGGTGATTACAAATTAATTAGCCAGTTAGCTCTATAAATCGAGTAATGCTAGAGAGATCACATTAGCAAACCACATTATACGGTAGATGAAGATATGTATACCTGATTAGCAAATCCAACACCAATACCAAGCAGCAGGCGACCAATAATTAAGAGTACAATGTTATTGGCAACACCATTCAGGACAGAGCCAATAAGAAAAACAAGGCCAGCCACAAACATGGAGATTTTTCGACCAAATTTCCTAGTTACTGATGAAGCAAAGAAGGAAGCCACCAATGCTGCAATGTAGAGGCAAGACGTGAACAACGTGAGGAGTTGGCTATCAAATTTGCAGTACTGGTTTTGACCACCAGACTCATTCTTCATTTTATGGTACACAGATGGGAAGAACTTGCTCAAGAACGACTCCATTGAGGTCACTCCTCCTGCATATGGAGAAAAGTTGTTTAGTACTTGTTTTAATGTAATCTCAATTCTTTTAAACATAGAGAAAAAAACACCAAATTACCCGAGATTCCAAGATCGTATCCGAAGAGGAGACCTCCCATGGCTGCAGCGAGACAGGTGAATACCACAAAGACAGTGACACCGCCTTCATAGCTCCTCCCTCCGCCTCCGCCTACAAAACCTCCTCCAGCCATTGCTCTACAAAATCTTGCAGTCTGAAAGTTCTTTGAAGTTTAAATATACTTAGCCAAATGATTTTGTCAAAAATCTTTGATATCCACTATCAATAAGAAGAAACAAAGGTATAAATCTTTTGATCCTATCTTTGTTCCTTAATTACATTTCAAATCCCAGAATGTTCAAGCATATAAAGGCCCCAAAATGCAACAACCTGCCCGGTTGTTTCAACAACTTTGGACTAAATTCTTGTGAAGCTGCCATATTTAGGTATGAATGGTTGGATATGTTAGGATATAACAGTAGATAAAATTCTTGTTTCGATTAGATTGAGATAAGTAGTTGCTGATATCAAACCAGTCGTGCTGTTTGGAGCTCTAAATTTGGCAATGTGTGATTATTGTTTGTCAAACTCTGACAGGCATTGCCATGAAAAACCATACTGTAAATTTGAATATTATATGAACATATCTTTAACCATATAATTAACCAGAATTCTGATATAGAAAGCTGAGTCAAGCTAAAACCCCCTGTCAAAACCTCAAACTTTTTCACAATAACAATCAAATAGTTGGATGTTAAATCGAATAATTAACAGTCAAGATTTCACCATTCAAAATTCTATCCATACGAAATAATTTGTAATCCTATTCATCAGATTGCCAAATTTAGAGTACCAAAACATTAAAATGGTTTAAATAAAAATCAAGTACTTAATCTTGTTCTAATCCAAAAACAAGAATTTGCCGTGATCCTTATCCTCACAGGTTCAACCATTCGGACATAAATATGGCATGTATAACAAGGAAGGAAAGAATTTCACAATCTAGAAAATAATTGTAGGATTATTAGGTAAGTTTGTTTAGGCAGGCAATCTTGCTACCCTTTGGCGCCTTTATAAACTTTACAGTATCTTTCTCTTCTTCTTGAGAGTGGGTTTGCTTAAACTTCAAAGAGGTTATAGACTTGAAAACTTTGAAGAGTGATGGCAGGAGGAGGTGGTTTCGTCGGGGAGGGCGGAGGAAGGAGCTATGAAGGAGGTGTCACCATCTTTGTGCTCTTCACTTGTATGGCAGCTGCCATGGGAGGTCTCCTCTTCGGATATGATCTTGGAATCTCAGGTAATTGGAACACCATTTCAGAAACACACAAACACATCAATTAATTGTGTTTTTTTCTCTATGTTTAAGAGAATTGAGATTACATTGCAAGGGGTTTGTACGTATCTCAAGAGATTAAGAGCAGTTACTCTGCACCTGAAGTTCTGTGTTCGAATCCCCTCTCCCTTAATATCGCTTGTATCAAAAGAAGAAAAAATAAACAAGAGAATTGAGATTACATTGAAACAAGTTTTCCCTATGCAGGAGGAGTGACTTCAATGGAGTCGTTCTTGAGCAAGTTCTTCCCCTCTGTGTTCCACAAAATGAAGAATGAGTCTGCTGATCAAAACCAGTACTGCAAATTCGATAGCGAACTCCTCACGTTGTTCACCTCTTGCCTCTACATTGCAGCATTGGTGGCTTCCTTCTTTGCTTCATCAGTAACTAGGAAATTTGGACGAAAGATCTCCATTTTTGTGGCTGGCCTTGTTTTTCTTATTGGCTCTGTCCTGAATGGTGTTGCCAATAACATTGTACTCTTAATTATTGGTCGCCTGCTGCTTGGTATTGGTGTTGGATTTGCTAATCAGGTATACAAAAAATCTTCTGTCTTTAATTAATTTTCTTTATAGCTCTCTATATATCTCGCTTACACATTTGATTAAAGAATTAAACGTACAGGTCTTAAGAGACATCACATTTTTAGATCATATTGGTTTACCGCATTATGTGGCAGGTGATGTGTTGATTATCAACACAACATAAAAATTTATGTGATAATAGGACCCCATCTACCATATACTGTAGTTCGCCAATGTGATGTGAAAATATAATCTATCTACACTACTTGAAGTTTAGAGGTAGCTAGCTAGATAATTAATTTGTACTCTCCATTTGGTTTGTAGTCTGTTCCTGTTTATCTAGCGGAAATGGCTCCAACAAAGATTCGAGGAGCACTGAACATGGGGTTTCAAATGGCCATTACCATTGGCATTCTAGTGGCAGGTCTTGTTAACTTCGGCACTGCCAAGATCAAGGGTGGATATGGCTGGAGAGTCTCTTTGGCTCTTGCAGCCGTCCCTTCCTTGATCTTGACTGTTGCTGCAATCTTTCTTCCCGACACTCCAAATTCCATCCTAGAAAGAGGTCACCCTGAGAAGGCCAAGAAAATGTTGAAAAAGATTCGTGGCACCGATGACGTCGATGAGGAATTCCAAGACCTTCTTGATGCTACTGAGGTTGCAAAAAGAGTGGAGAACCAATGGAGCAACATCACACAACCAAGATATAGGCCTCAGCTTGTCATTTGCCTTCTTGTTCCGTTCTTCCAGCAGCTCACCGGCATCAATGTGATTATGTTTTATGCACCTGTTCTTTTCATGACGTTGGGGTTTGGAAATGAAGCTTCCCTCATGTCCACTGTCATCACCGGCAGCGTTAATGTGGTTGCTACCTTAGTGTCCATTTTCACAGTCGACAGGTTTGGAAGAAGAGTCTTATTCCTTCAAGGTGGTGTGCAAATGCTCATCTGCCAGGTATTTAATTCCATATGCTCAATTCAATGAAACTAATATAAAAAATTTCTCATCAAAGGACATAGATTGCA